TGGGTTGTGGTCCGAGTTTACATCTGGTCCAGGATAAGTCTTCACTACTGTAATAGAGTTCTTGTACCTGTTCCTTATTAAGATGTAATCTTTCTGATTCCTTTAATTCTATCTTTGTTGTCTCCAGGAGCTTTCCACATGTAGAGCCGGCGATTTGGTAATTTAAACATTGTATTTATAACTACCAGTTCTTCTGTTTGGCACATCTGAATTAGTCTTTCACCAAGCTCATTTCGCTTTCCCAATCCATACATTCCAACACAACTCTCCACACTTTCCCTGCCCACTTTGGCATTGAAGTCACCCATTTTCAACATTGTTTCCAATTGCTGGTAGAAGTCTTCTATTTCTTGCTCCTCCTTGTCAGCTGTTAGTGCATATACAAGACTAACATTCTAATACGATTCGAAAGCGGGGTGAAACCAAGTACGGATTTATCTATTTTCTTGCTTACCATTATGGCCACACCATATCGGTTCGTTCTATCAGAATATCAACTATAATATATAGCTCTGCTTCTAGTCCGTTGTTTTCCAGACCCCGGCCATTGTACATCGCTTATTCCTAGAATTTCGATATTTAATCTTTCCATTTCTATCACAGTATTATCTACTTTACCTTATTGTATATGTAGTAAGTATATTTGTACGTTCCATGATGCAATTCGCATATTTCCTCTTGTGATATTTTTTAAAAGTGTTCCAATATTTACATCACAGGGATTTCGGTAGCTTACGAACTGGGAAGCCCTGTGGCCAACTTGTGATTTACTTCCCCTGCCAGATCTTGGTTTCCGCGGCCCATGATCAGTAAGGTTACTCATTTGGTTATTGCTAGCCATGATGATTGTACTAGGGATGCTCTTGTGAGCCTTTACTAAAGTGGTTTTCCGTGACCTTCCGTAGCCTTATGTCGTTGACCATCTTCATGGTTCATCCGCCTTTGAGACCGATTTCTCGATCTCAGGATAAAGGAGTGCCCTCCCACTAACTAGCTCTTCCGCCCGAACCCGTTGGCCAGTAGGTGGGGGATTGCTTATACCGGCAATCGCTCGGTGGTTTTTCGCCATATCTGGCTACCCTCACTTGGTTTACCCGGAAGACCAATGCAGTTGCCCAGGGTGTGGCACGTGGAGCCATAAGTGAGAGTTAGGTGTCTTATGAGGACCAGTTATCAAGAACCATCTCCCGTCTATGACGCTCGATGTGGTCGTTCCGATAAAAGGTACTATCTCTATAACACACCCCATACACATAACTCTTATCTGGTATTTGGTTGATACGAGGATTATTCAAATTATATTCATATAGAAAAAGTCAAAGAATTTATTTACCAGTATCAGAAGAAAAATTACAAGGACTTGGATGACCATGGTAACAGACAACGATAAAAAAACTTAAATTGAATTTACCAAACAAAATTAAACGATGTAGACCAGGGAAGTAACTATTTTCCCAAGACCCTCTTTTACACAGGTATCAAACGGTATTCTTCATACTTGGAAAATATGTGAAAATCTACAGTGTGACTAATAACTACGTGGTATAGCAAATATAAGTCTTTTTAAACGGGACACCCTATATATTTTTTCATATTTATATTCCTCTTTTAATTCTTGCATTCTTGTTCTTATAATATTGGGCTTTGCATTAATATACAGAGTATTTAACAAGTTATGACCATTTTTATTTAGAAATCCCTATGAAATCAACACCATGTATATAAAGAAGTAATACATAACAACTATTTATTTTATATAATAAAGTCAACAATATATTTTAATTTTTAAATTTAATTTAATTAAAATCATTGACTAAAATTTGTATACAGGGTGAACTACAAAACGAAATTACGATTTTCTCAATTTTTTTAAATTGATCACACTATATTTTATTTTTTAGAAATATTGTATTCATGGTAATCTTTCATTTTTATATAGCATTTCCTCCCTATACCTAAACTCATTATTTTCCAAAATATTTTTAGTTTTCTTCAAATTTCGGGAAAGTATTAAATTTTTGTAAGTAGAAATAAATATTGAGTATTAATTGATAGTATAACAAAATTATTTTTATCAATAAGTAACTAACAAAAAATATAAACCATAATAATATGTAAAAAAAGAAAAGCTTTTCTTATTCCATTTTTCATATCATCTAGGGTTGTTGGAGGCCCCTCGTATTCAAGGTCTTCATCTTTGGCGCATAATGGAGAAATTTTTTTTGTCAAAACTTGAACTTTTAATTTTTCAAATAGGGTTTTGTACATTTATTAACCTTTATAAACAAAGACTCGGTGAATTTATTACTCGGATACCTTAGCTGCATCCAGTAGCAGGTCCGTGTAGTTGTTCAATGGGTTATTTATATCATTATTATTGTCGTTTGTTCATTTAAGTATTCTAAGTTTTTCATTTCCGAGGCATTAACCTGTTTCTTTGAGCTGGCTGGTTTATAGTCCTACAGTAGGGTGCTAACCTGGTTGAAGACCAATTTTCTGTCAGGGTTTATTCCCATAGCCGATATGTTCCAGTTTTAAGGCGCCAGAAACTCGCCTTTCACCCTCTCTCGTCAGCTACATAACGCACAATCATTGTGCGCCATGCACCCAGAAATGGAACACGACTTTTACGGTCTACAAAAGGAAATATGGCGTTTCATAAGAGGACAAAGATCAGAGATGAAAGACTTAATCGAACCGAAACACATAGATAACGACACATGGATTGAATACCTAAAGAAGCTTTATAATGATGAACAGCAAATGATGTTAGAACCAGAAACACCAGAAATCATTACAAACGAGGAAGTCGAGATAACCGTACAAGAAGTAAAACAAACTTTAGAAAAACTGAAGAACAGAAAAGCTGCAGGTAAAGATGGAATTCCAAACGAATTATTGAAATATGGTGGAGAAGCATTAACAGAACAGCTAACAGCACTAATTAACAAAATCATCAAACATAATAAAATACCTGAAGAGTGGAAGAAAAGCGAGCTTATCCTACTATACAAAAAAGGAGATAAAAAACAATCTAAAAACTACAGAGGTATCAACTTATTAAACACCACTTTGAAGCTTACAACCAAAATATTGCAAGGCCAAATAAATCAGAGAATTACCTTAGCGGATGAACAGCAGGGTTTTCGCACAGGAAGATCGTGCACAGATGCAGTATTCATCATAAAACAGATTACCGAGAAAGCACTAGAGTATAACAGACCAGCATTCATATGTCTAATAGACCTGAAGAAAGCGTTCGATAAAGTAAAGCTTAAAGACGTAATTCACCTTCTTTACGATAGAGAAATTCCACTAAATGTTATAAAAACAATAGAGAACATTTAGCAGAACAACAATATGGAAGTCAGAATAGATGACCAGCTTACAGATCCAATAGATATGGGCAATGGAATAAGACAAGGAGACTCGCTTAGTCCAACGCTATTCAATCTAATCATGGATGAAATCATCAATACTATTAGTAAAGGAAGAGGATACAAAATGGAGAACAAAGAAATCAGAATACTCTGCTATGCAGATGATGCGGCCCTAATTGCATCCAATAAAGACGATCTACAAAGACTAACCCATAGATTCAACACAAGGGCAAAGGACTTTAATATGGTGATCTCTACATAGAAAACTAAAACAATTGTAATCAGTAAAGAACCAATTAGATGTAAACTGGAAATCGACGGTATCAGCATTGAGCAAGTAATGGAGACAAATTACCTAGGAATTACACTGTCTAGCTACGGAGATGTGGAGAAGGAAGTGGAAAATCAAGTACAAAAGGCTAATAAAATAGCAGGTTGTCTTAATAACACGATATGGCGCAATCCCCACATTAATACCGACGTGAAATCAAGAATCTACAAAGCAACAATAAGACCAATAATGACATACACTTCAGAGACAAGACCGGATACCTCCAAAACTCAGCAACTACTAGAAACAGCGGAGATGCGTTTACTGAGGAGAATTACAGGAAACACACTGAGGGATCGAATGAGAAGTGAAGAGATCAGAAGAAAATGCAATATACCAGAAATAAATGAGTGGACACTGAACAGAAAAAAGGAATGGAACGAACACATAAACAGAATGGAAGAGACCCGATTAGTCAGAATAGCGAGGGACAAATCACCAAAAGGTAGAAGAAGTATCGGGCGGCCACGCAAAAGATGGAGTGATAACCTCCAATAAAGGCATTAATCGACATTGAACAAGCATTTTGCTTACAAAAAAGCAGAAGAAGAAGAAGTTTTTCATTTACTTTTTTCTCAAATAATTTGCTATTTCTTTATTGCTTAGCTTATACGTTTTTATACGTTTTTATCGTCTATCGTTGGTTTTTCCTTTTCCGTTCTAGTTTTTTTCTTCTCTTTTATTTCTTCTCGTATCTTACTTACTACCATGTAATGGTCGATGCCTATTTCTGGTCTTCTGTGTACTTTTGTATCCTTTACTTTTCTTCTATCATTGTTTTCAACTAGTATATAGACAATTATGGATTTTTCATTTAGAATTTTGACTTCTCTAGCATAGATGTGGTTTTTTTTGTGGGTGGGATTTTTTCAGCATTAAAGGAACTTCGCTGGTGATAACGCTAGGAATAATTTAGGCAACTTTTCACTATAAAACTTTTATTCCACAAACACAACTTACACAAAACTGCTTGGGTTTCCAAAGGGAAGAGCCACTTATATTTCTATGTAGCATAATATTTGTTTACTATCTAAGTACAATTTTTTATTTGATTGACAAGAAGTCATCCTTTCTGTCCGACATGTTATAACAAACCTTTTGTTTTTTTTTAACAATGCGCATGTGTTGGAACTTGTATCAGGACAACTTGAATCACACAAAACATAAAATATGTTAAAGTATATTGTTCCAATCTCATTCCATTGTTAATTCTGATTATTTCTCCACATATATGTCTAGTGTATATTTCATCTTTTACTCCGACATATAAAGAATTATAAATATTTCAGGGAGTTACAATATCAGACATTGATGTGAAAATGGGAGAACAAGCTGTAGAGGAACTTAATAAGGAGTTTGGTGCGGGAAAAGCTATTTTTGTTAAAACTGACGTGACTAATAAGGATAATTTTGAGGGTAAGCCTTTTTAATCAATATATTTTCACATAATTGAAATTATTAGTATAGAAACTAGAAAAAATATTAATACTAGGGTGAAGATTTTTAATATCTATTTAACAATTATCAAAATAGATATTTAACTTAGTTAATATCTATTTTCTTGTGGTATGTTAGTTTTGCGGTTGTATATTTTAGATTGTAAATAGGTAAAGGAGTCGTTATTAACAGTGCTTTTCAGATAAAACTATCCACCTTAAATAACTTTTGAACCTCTAATTTTTTATAAATACGCAAAAACACGTCAATTAATATTTGAAGGGGGAGACATTATATCATATTAAAGGTTTTTGGGAAATGCACCCCTCTCCCCCTGTATCAACCCTTTATTTTTTTTAATTACTTCTTCCTTTTTTATTTTATATTTGGATTCTCCTTTTTGTACTGATTTCAAAAATGTATAATACCTTTGGTTTAATTACTGTTAAACTGGGAATAAGCCACAATTAAAGATAAAAATACGTTTATTCTCGAAATCTTTAATTCTATAAAAATTCTTAAGTTTGTTATAAAGTGATTTCAGAAAAATAATTTATATTTACATACTATGATTGTCCAGATGAAGCAAAATTCTTCCTCAATTACTTTGTGCATTTTTGATGAGACTAAATGAATGTGAATTGAAACCGCAGACGTTTAAAACACAAACTGTGTTTACACGATGCAGTAGGGAATTCCTCTAATGATTTGTAAGTAATTAAACTGCGTGCAATGGACGGATCAGACCAGATCGTTCAATTTAACCAGAAACTACGGAAAATATTCAATTTCAATTAGTTAGGGTTTACATCAGTTTGATTAAAATTACAATCGCTGTAATAGATCAATCAACTAGTTACGGAGATGTTGAAGAAGAAGTACGACAACAAAGCTTAAAAGCAAGTAAAGCGGCGGGTTCTGTTAATGACACAATTTGGATGAACAAACACCTAAGACAAGACACAAAAACAAGAATATATTATAAAGCAGCAATTCCTCCTCCTCAATCCTTTAGCCCTTGTCAGGGCGTAGTGACACCCTAAATATTGTTAGTCTGCTGTCTCCATTGACTGCGATCTTGTGCCATATGGACGGCTTCATGTAGGGATTTTCCCACCAAACTCTTCATTTGGTCTACCCATCGTATTGGAGATCTTCCTCTTGGTCTTTTGACTTGGCCTTCTACCTTTCCTTCTACTACCAATAGTTCCATGGTGCCCGTTCTTCTAGCTATGTGGTCGAAGTAAGTTAGGTATGCTTGGTTTACTTTTTTTAGTAGCCTGTCTTTTATATGAAGCTCTTCCAAAATTGACAGGTTGGTTCTATGTTCCGTCCAGGACACGCGTAGAATTCTTCTATATACCCACATTTCGAAGGCTTCGATCTTACTCCTATCGATTTTTTGAGAGTCCATGTTTCAGCTGCATATGTAGCAATGGGAAAAATAAGGGCATTGACCAACCTGAGCTTAGTATTCCTTGTTATTGTTCGGTCTTTCCATATTTTAATTAATTTAGCAGTTGCGGTTCGCCATTCCTAGTCTACGTTTGATTTCTGAGGAACAATCACCATTGTTGGTTATCAGAGAGCCCAAGTATAAAAATCTGTCGACTACTTCGAAAATCCCTATTTGGCGTATATGCGGTAGATTATTATTTGCTCTGTCTACAATCATTATTTTTGTTTTTCCGGTGTTGATTTGAATTCCGAATTCTTCACTTATTCGGCTTAGCCGTTCGATGATGGTAATCATTTCGACTTCATTCGCTGCTAGTATAAGTGTGTCATCTGCGTATCGCAGGTTACTGATTTTTCTGCCTCCTATAGTGATTCCTCCATCCCATTCATCTAGTATATTTCTCATTATATATTCAGAATATATGTTGTACAATAATGGTGATAGTCTGCAACCTTGTCTAGTTCCTTTCTCTGTTTTGAATGCATTTGAATATATTCCATGTACTTTAACTTTGGCTGAGTTTTTATTATACAGATTTCTTATTAGGTTAACTAGGTGGTTAGGTACTCCCATATTTTCCATTATACTCCAGAGAGGATCCCATTTTACTGAATCAAAAGCCTTTGTGTAATCTACAAAACAGAGCAACATTGGTATGTTATGTTCTCTCGCTTTTTCTACTATCTGTCTGGTGTTGAGTATTTGCTCACGCGTTCCCTTTCCTGGTACAAATCCACATTGTTCTTCGATCTCTGGAAGTAGAAAGTTCTTTAGGCCGTTCATTGATTATATGTAGCAGGATTTTTCTTGCATGAGGGATAAGGGCAACGGTTCTGTAATTGCTGCATATGGTTAGTGATCCTTTTTTATGGATAGGGATCAAGGTTGATTCACACCACTCATCAGGCCATTCACCTGTGATCCATATCATGTTGCACATACCCAGCATTACATCTACGCCAATTTCGCCTATTGCTTTTAGAGTCTCCGCTGTTATGCCAACGATTCCTGAAGTTTTTTTCTTAGTTGGTTAAGAGCCTTCTCTACTTCTGCCCATAAAATGATTGGTTTAGCCTCTCTGATTGCATTCAGCCTCTCAAAGCAGCTGAAAGCAGCAATTAGACCTATATTAACATACACGGCGGAGACAAGACCTGACATATCTAAAACGAGACGACTGCTAGAAACAACAGAGATGAAAATACTCCGACAATATCAGGGAGAAGTCTGTTGGACAGGGAGATAAGCATAAGAAGAGCATCCAATATATAAGACCTAAATGGACGGGTGAGAAAAGAAAACAGGAGTGGAACGAACACATCAGTAGAATGGCAGAGGTTAGAATAGTACGAATAGCACGAGATAAGTCACCAAATGGACGAAGAAGTATTAGCAGACCAAAAAAAAGATGGTGCGACAATGTAAACAATTTAGAAGGCTAATATTGAAGAAGAAACAGGCTTTAAAGCCTACATACTAGAAGAACGAAGAAGAAGAAACTTAAATCTAGAAAACTGATGCCTCGATTTGACAGTAAACGAGATTTTGTGGCCAAAACATAATTTTTTTACAGTATCATAATGAATGATTATTTTTATCAAAATTGTATGCTATATTCATTGTTTTTTATTTTTATAATATTAGTTTATTGTATGGTAATGTATGATTATTTGCAAATAAATAATGTAAATTTAATTAAACGTTGTTTTTTCGAAAATTCCCAAAACTTTAAACTACATGCGCGGGCTAACGATGTAAAATAATTTTACTTTTTATGACCAATTATTATTTAGACTAAGGCAAAGTAGTGTAACTATTATATGATAATTAAATTATAAAAAAAACTTCATACCTCAGTGACCCACCCTAATGAGTAGGTATATAACACAATAGATTACTTGAAGGATGAAGATTTTTCACCAACATTATTTATACTTTTCTACCACTTTTGAAGGAGGGGGTTCAGTGGGTTTTTACCAAATTTTAGTACATCATTGTGCCTTAAACAAGTAGCCTGTAGCTATTTTTTAACCGTCTAGGGGGCCGTGGCCTGTGATACGCCCCTCGATAGAGTCAAAAATAGCCCTTTTTATCCTAAATTTGAAAAGCTTTATCTCTGAGTTCAATAAAGTGATTTTAGCTCATTTTTTTTTGTTATGTAGTCAACTTTTTGTTGACATAATTTACAAAATCGTAAAAGATAAACTTTATTTTATAGGCCAAGAAGAACGAAAAGAAAACTGACAAAATTTTATGATTTTCAATTGTCAAATTGTAATTAAATGAGGAAAAATATATAGTAACGGCAGATTAAAGTATTATTAAATACCTTTTAAACTGGTAAATATTGTATTGTTCTGAAGCTATTTTCTTGTGGCATTTTAAATTAATTATTCATTATTCCCAGTTAGATAGTAATTAATGGTAAATATTGGTAAATTAAATTCCATTTAGTAGATTCGAAGATACAGTTGTTTAAAAATTGACAGTTTTTCGAAAATCACATTTTTTTATCACGTGTATACGAATATAACTTTTTCCAAACGATTTTCCATGGTCACAATTTTTCCAAATACAAAATTTCATTATTGTTATATTACAGTTGAGGGAAAATTAATGAAAATGAAAATAACCTCGTATTCTAATGAAGAAAAAAATATAATTTTGAATCTAAAATAATATTCTTAAGATAAAGGCAATAATTTTGTTATTTTTTTTATAGTATGTTTTATTAAATAATTTTTAAAATGGTTTGTACATATTTATACAAAAACTTTTATACAGTATGATGCAAATATTTGGAATAAATTATTTATTTCAGAAACAGGCGACTTTTAAAAAAATCTTAAAACATTTTAATTTTTGAATGGCCATCAATTGCTATATATGTGTTGAACATTACGTCATCAGTGTCGGCTTAATGACCTCATCAAGGATTTTTTTAAATACAAACCGAGGTCACGCGACAGCTTATTTGAAAAATCTCCTTATCGCCTTTGCAACGATATAATCGTTTGAATAATTATTTCTACAGGGTTAACCAAGACTGTTGTTTTACAATAACCTTGCAATAAATGTTTACTTAAATTCAATTAAATTACAACAAATGTTCAAATTGACAACCTTTAGCAATAATACAATGTAAAAGATAGGCAATAAATTCTTTCCTAACCTTTTCGGTGACTTCAGGTGTTATTTGTGCAATTTCCGTTCTGATGCGCTCCTTCAACTCTTCTACATTAATCTGTCGATTTTGATAAACTCTTAACTCTGCTCGTTAAATATCTCCACAAAAAAACGTCTAAAGGAGTCAAATCTGGAGACCTTGGTGGCTATTCGATGGGCCCCCTTCTACCTATTCATCTACCTGGGAAAACGTTATTAAGGTAATTTCGTACCCCAACGCCGTAGTGTGTGGAAGCCCCATCATGTTGGTACCACAAATCATTTCTATTTGGAAATAGCTGATTCAGATGTGGCAACAGATAATCCTAAAGAAATTCAAGATAACAAATAGCAGTTAAGTTTTCCTCAAAAAAAATATGGCTCTATTGTTTATAATGCCGGCCCAAACATTCGCCTTCTCATGCTATTGTGTCCTATACTCTTTCATCCAATGTGGATTTTCACTTGCCCAGTATTAATTTGTCTGACGATTTACGTGACCGTTCCGCATAAAAGATGCTTCATCAGAAAAAAAGTACTTTTTGTATGAAACCCTGATCTGTGTTACATTTTTCCATAATGGTTTTGCAGACTTCAATTCTTCTTAAACGCCAGTACAATGTCCAGTTTCTTGGCTTCGGATATTGATTTTCTATCACTTCTGGGAAGATCTTTAACATGGCCCATTTCTCTAATTTTTTTTTTCAATTTTACCTACTGTTGATTGAGTAATTGGTTTGTGATTGGGGTATTTGGCATTAAATAAATTTTGAACTTCTGCTTGAGTCCTCACTCTATCTCCATAACCAATCATGATTAAAATCTCGATTCTTTCTGTTTCTGTTAGTTTCATTTTTGTAAATTCTGTTAGTAATGACGGCAAAAAATTAAAGAGTAAAAATTTGACGTCTATTATTTGACAAATTCACGAAAAATAACTTGAAATATTTACTACAATAATTAATTTCAGATTATAATGTAGCATTTTTTGTTAACAATGTATATATTTCTTTTGAAACCAGCAAAAAACATTATTTTGTTTTATTTCCAGTGCCGTTCCTCAGTGTATTTTAGTTCAGTGAATGAGTATTTATTGTAATTCCATGTTACTTAACAAAGTTCATCATTTTGATGAACCCTGTAGAAATAAATATTCAAGTGATTACATCGTTGTAAAGACCTTGGCCATCTGCAAAAAACCCTTGTCGCCAACGGTTACTCCAAGTCCACAATTCAAAATATTACACACTGACATCTACATCCCCCTTTACACCATAGGACGACAAATTCAGAATCTTCGGGTAATACTCCTGTGGCTTTTCTTCCGTATATTCGAAGTGTCACTGATAGGATTGGCAAAATTCTTCGCAAAGAAGGTATCAGGACTACTTTTCGACCACCCAAGAAAATCTCACAATATCTACCCTCGCCTAAGGACCCATTACCGCCCCTATCTTTCTGTGGTGTCTATTCTATTCCTTGTTCATGTGGACATGTGTATATTGGCGAAACTGGTCGTTCCGTCAAAACTCGGATTCAAGAGCATCAAAGATGCATTCGATCAGGTCTTTTCTCCCATTCTGCAGTTGCAGAACACTGCCAAGAAACCGGTCATTCCGTATTGTTCGAAAAAACCCATATTATTTCTAAGAGCCCCTTCTTTTATTCCAGGAAAATCCTCGAATCTCTAGAGATCCGAAAAAATCCACATAATATCAATCGAGAGGAAGGATACTACTTGTCTCCCATCTGGAATCTCAGTCTAGAGCCGCCGTCCGGTCCCGCTACCACGATGCAGCCATATGATTGGCCAGCGCACGCTTCTTGACGTTCGCGCCACGGAGTGTGCCGATACGTCCCGACACGACAGGTCACCGCGACTATAAATAGAGCGGTAGCGGAGTAATCGTCGGATTCACTCCCCGCCTCTCGACGCGTTAGTGTTCTGAGCTGTTTGACGTGAATCCCTGTCCTGGCATTTGGTTTTCACCTCTGGCTGCGTTAAGTAGTTGAGTTACTGTGACCAAATGCCCATTTTGGTAGTTAGTATTCGCCTCTGGTTGCGTTGAGTAACTGAGTTACCGTTGCTAACTACCCATCTTCCTGTCTTTTGATTTCTTTTTTTTTGTTCTCCTGAAGAAGCTACATACAATTGTAGCGAAACGTCGAGATGAACCCACGTTTGGGTCACTCACAAATGACACTGTCCAAACCCGGAAGACGAATAAACTATTATTCAATACATTTGCATCATACTGTATACTCATTGTATATTTAATGTAAATATGTATATAATATACTTAAGTTGCGGAGTTACTCCAGTCGTCAGAGACATAAATGTCAGTGAACCTCTAAAAATCATACGAAAAACTTGAATGTTGCCGAAAATGTCAAATTTAGGACGCTAAAAAAAGATGAAAAAAAGTTTACCACTTTTACATCTGGGCTTTCCCCTAAACCCCTCCATGTAGAGGGGTGAAAACGGAAAAAATCGATTTACCAAGAATGTGTGTGTGTGTGTGTGTGTGTGTGTGTGTGTGTGTGTGTGTGTGTGTGTGTGTGTGTGTGTGTGTGTGTGTGTGTGTGTGCGCGCGCGTGTGTGTGTATGTGTGTAAACTATGTAGTGTAGCATTTTTCTCACTATTTACTTTTTTTTTAGCTGCGTTTATTCAAACTGTAGATGTTTTTAAAAGTGTTGACATACTTGTTAATAACGCTGGAATCTATAACGATAGAAATTGGGAGAAAGAAGTGGAAGTAAATATTGTAAGTTTTACCAAATACTATGATTATCTTACTTTGTAATAGATATTAATTCTTCTATTTCCTACAGTGCCTATCCGTTCCAGATATTGGCGATTAATGTGAATATCTTTATTTTGCTGGCAGCTATTTGGAATAGTCCAGTTGTAGACTATTGAACCATTTTCTCAAACACTGGATCCAAGAAATTCTTCGTCTCCCTGGTCTCTCTTTTTCATACACTTTGCCATGAAGAAAGAGTTGTATTAAGCCATATATCTGGTCATTCTTAAGACGCAGATCTCGAAGCTTGAATCTTTCCATTAAACTCTATATTCATTTTCGCACGCGTGTTAACATATTTGATATCTATTATCATATCTATCTTAAATGTTAAAATAAGTGAACAATCTTATTTCAAAAATAGAGAATTTAATCTTGAAAATTATAGAGGCATTAGTCTGATGAATAGTACATTTGAATTGTTAACGGCAGTCATAAAAGATAAAATCGAGGAAAAAGCGAACATGGCAGATGAACAACAAGGCTTCCGGAAGCACCGCAGCACAATAGACGCAATTTTTATTATCGGACAAATAATAGAGAAGTCTATTGAATATGGAAAACCAGCATACATGTGCTTTGTAGATTTAAAAAGTGCTTTTGACAGGGTAAAGCGAAATAATATCTTAAATTTATTACAAGCTGAACAAATAGACCATCAGATAATAAGGACAATTAATGAAATTAACAAGAACAACAAGACCAGAGTTATAATGCCAACAGGAGAAACAGAATGTATAGAACTAAAAGGAGGAATCTAAAAGGGAGCGCATAAAATCACGATACTATGCTATGCCGATGATGCAGTACTAATTGCTGATAACGAAAATGACCTACAAAGGCAGCTCCACACCTTCAATATCACAGCAAACAAACTTAATATGAGAATATCAGTATCAGCAAAGCTGTGCTGTCACTCAGGGTACTCTCGTTAAGTTGCACAGTAAACTCTCTGCTTTTCAATTTGTTACAGAGAACATCTTCGACATTCGCTCCCATTCCATCAATCCTTCTGGAGAGAGTATTATTTCTGAGAGGAACTGCATCTGTTACTTGGTTGGCCTGACTGGGTCCTAACATAGAATCAACTATCTCTTTGACAGCTGGGAAGATGAGTTCTTCTTCAATTGTGTGCGGCTTGGCACTTTTTGCTATTAACAATGATACCTTGTAGGAAGGTTATGTCCGAATTGAAAGACAGACTTACAGTTTCATAAATAAATCACAGTATCTTTATTAAAATAACAACTCACTGAACACAATGACTGTCAGTTGAAACAAAACAACTTTATATACCACAATACAAAACTCGGGAACGAAAGACTCCGCATTTGAAGCGACGACAACCTCGACCGTTCGCTTTTTGTTCGAGTGAGATCGGCAGGAGCGATCTGAATACAATATGCCCATGTTGGTAATATGCCCATTTCCATGTTTTGCTTTAATATTTGATATTCGGGGAAGGAGGCGCTGGACACACTGAACGCCTAATATAACCAGAGAACTACGAACACAGCGTTCGTAGTTCTCTGATATAACAAAGCCCGTGACCGACATCAAGGTTAGTTGTGAGCTTGCCGTGGTACAGTCAAGTTGTACGTGGTTTTTAAGAGCGTGTTTATAAAAATTGACGTCAGTTTTCACCTCTGTTTTGCACTTAAACGTTTTAATTTTTCTACGACATAAGTGATTTTAGTCTGCCATAGAGTACTTAAAATGTAAGTAAAAATAAAATATAGTATTATTCAAAATGTTTTTATAATTTAAGAAAATGTATTAATCATCATGTGTCAACAATATGCCGATAGTATATGCTGACAATTTGCTCAATTGGGCATATTGCCAGCTAATTATAACAGATAATTTATTGATTTTTTTTGTTTTAGATAACATGCCTCGTGTCAGAAATAAGGAAATGCGGTCGCAATGGAGCAATCAACAGCTAGAATCCGCAATTGCAGCAGTAATGAATGGAATGTCATATAATGCGGCAAGTCAAAGGTATAATATTTCTAGACGCACTTTGAAACGCTATGTAGAAAAAAATAGTACCAAAAAGGCAAAAATGGGGAGAAAGACTATTTTGAATATAGATCAAGAAAACGAATTGTCTCGACGAATTGTTAGATTGGCAGAAGTTGGGTATCCCCTCAGCAATAAAACTTTAAAAAAATGTGTGTTTACTTATTGTGAACAAAACAATTTGCCACACTTTTTTTCACAAGGAACCAAAATGGCTGGACGTTATTGGTTAAAAGGATTTTTGCAAAGACACCCTGAAATATCGATAAGGAAAGCACAAAACATGAATCCTGCTCGGGCTCAAAAATTGAACAAGTTCATAGTAAAAGACTATTTTGACAATAAGGGGTGTACTTCAAGAATTAGATTTAATCGACAAACCTGAAAGAATTTACAATGTGAACGAGAAAGGCTGCAGACTCAGTCTGCATCATCAACAGACCGTTCTAGCAAAGAAAGGCGCGAAACGCGTACATTTGGTTGCTCCGGAACATGGGGAAAATGTAACTATTGTTAGCTGTGCTAACGCCAATGGTACCGCTATTCCTCCTGCCGTTTTGTTTAAAGGACGGCGCATGAAGCCCGAATGGAAAGATAATTTGCCTCATGGCACGTTGGCGTTGATGACCCCTAAAGGCAGTATGAATGTGGAAACCTACATTATTTGGTTGGAGCATTTAGCAAAATATAAATTGGAGGGAAAGTGTCTTTTAATATTTGATGGAGCCTCATGTCACTTAGACATTTCAATTGTCGAAGCTGCCGAGAAATATCAAATAACCCTTCTGTGTTTGCCTAGCAACACAACTCATGAACTCCAGCCGATGGACAAAGCTGTGTTTCGTTCCTTTGAACACCACTGGGACGAACAAGTGTTGTTGTATTGGACCAAATACAAAGAACGTGCTTTAACAAAGCAGCGATTTGGGGAAATATTTTCGATAGTGTGGGACAAGGCATTGACACCTTCTAACATTAAATCAGGCTTTGCTGCAACAGGAATATTTCCTTATAACCCCGATGCTATACCTGAAGTTGCTTCTGCCCCAAGTATTTTATCAGAAATTGAGAACATTGATCCCACTCCCATTAATGTACGTCAGAAAACACCATCTCCTACTCCAGGCTGTTCATATAACTCCTCTCAACAAAAAAGAGTACCAAACTATCAAAAGACCCAAGATTACAAAAAAAAGAAATCTAGAACTGAAACATCATCAAGTGATAGCGATAGCGGACCAATTAATGTACGCCAGAAAACACCATCTCCTACTCCAGGCTGTTCATATAATTCCTTTCAACAAAAAAGTGTACCAAAATATCAAAAGACCCAAGATTACAAAAAAAAGAAACCTAGATCTGAATCATCATCAAGTGATAGTGATAGCGGACCCATTAATCTGCGCCAGAAAACTCCACCACCAACTGCAGGCTATTCAAAAAGCTCTTCCCAACAAAACTGTTTGCCACAATACCACGCCAATTCACATAAAAAAGAAGTCTAAAACACAAACTTCATCAAGTGAGAGTTCTGGCAGTTATACTTCGGAATCAAAAGACAGCGGCGAAGAAGTTGAATTGGCAATAAATCAGTTTCATAAAAAAAAAGGAAACTTTCCTTATGAATTCTGAAAAAAATGATTTGGAGGTTTATAACAAAGAGAATAACAATCTTCGAGAAGAAAAAAGTAATACTGAAGAAATAAAAACTTGCCAGGGCAAAACTTTGGACACATCGTTTACGGAAATGCTTGAGACTCCGGCAAAAATTGAGAAAAAAAAATACACAAAATAGAAAGAAGGCAATAAATAGCAGAGCTATAGTGGTAAAAAAATGTATTTTCTACCACTAGTACAGGTACACGAACGTAGCAAAATAAAATAAAAATGAATGAAAAATGTAAAATGAAATAAAAGACATGCGACTATGCTTTATATGTGTACAGTACGTTCATGAAGAATGTGTAGGGCTGACAAAATTCGATAAGGAATCCTTTACCTGTCCTGATTGTACCCCACAATAACGTTCCTTAATTTTAAGTTATTTCAGTTAAAAATTCTTTATTTTGACATTTTAGTTTTTACAAAAAGGATTGTTTAATATCTTTGTTTGGTTAAATGTTTTTTATAGTGTCAATAAATATAAGATATTTCCACATCATTTAGTGTTTTAGGTAAGCGCATATTACCTTCACTCGACTGGGCATATTACCTTCAGGGTTTGGCAATATGCCCAGATTGAGGGATTAAAAAAAAATCGATATGAAAAAAAAAATTGCCAAACAATAAAAAAACTAGCGATGTTTAAACACCTAAACATTGGTATAGTGTTAAAAAATATATGAAAAATATATTTTTGTAGCAATAAATTCAAAATTCCCTTAACATGGGCATATTGTATTCAGTTACCTTATTATGATTCATAGCTCTCTGTGACTAGACGAGATGTTTGTGTTATTATTACCTGCATTGGCATACATACATTTACTGTTACTTATTATCCTATGGATATCCGATCGAAAGTATTGTATTTTTTTTTCTTTTTCTCAATTACCCATTTCTCGTTTTCCAGATGCTAAACGCCCTCCTTATCGCCCCCTTTCCTCTCTCGCCCCCTTCGCTGTATCGCCCCCTAAATATCTCAAATAGGCCCCCGGGGGGCAATCGCCCCCAGGTTGGGAATCACTGGTATATTATATCTGATTTCTCATGGCATGGTCTGGAGAATCCTGAGATGATACTCAGTTTTTATACGAATAAAAAATTGATTACTATGCTTTTATTTAAATATTATAAAATTTGTTTTAGAGAGGAACTATAAACGGAATAATCTTGGGTTTAGAAACATATTTAAAAAAATTTAAACAAGGCGATGAAGCCGTTATTATCAATACAGCTTCGGTTGCTGGTATACGGCCAGGTGCTTGGATGCCCATTTACGGCAGTACTAAGTTTGCAATAGTGGGTATGACTCAGTGCTGGGGAGATCCTTTTCACTTCCAAAGAACTGGTGTTAGGGTGGTTGCCGTATGTCCCGGAGGAACTCACACGCCGTTGTTTGATGCGGAAAACTATTCTTTACTGCCTGAATACATGAACTCACAAAGTCTGGCTCCGGAGAAAAGTGGTGTAAAACATAGACAAAGGTAATCAGGATGATTGTCATATTGATAAGTTTGATGATGAATGATATTGTTAATTTTTAACTAAATAAGAATTTTAGTACATCTAAAGTTTAGTAAAATTGTTCAAATAATTTATTTTTTAATAAAGTCAAAGGATATTATATTTTTTAAAGCATATAGGGGAGAGTGTTGTACCTCGGACCGGGTTGTACCTCGGGTCAGTTGACTTTCTTTCTTACCCACTGCAGATTTCTCTTCGATTTGGTTGAATTAGTGGTTTAATAATATCAGCGGTAGATGACATCTAAATACACTTAATCAAAAAATTGCAGCGTGGTGACTTGCAGAGCGTTTTGTTTGATCGTAAGTAAATTATTTACCAATTTGTTATCTGTTAAAATCAGCTTCAAATGTAAATATATATATTTTATTATTATCTGTAATGGACAATATATATTTACGCTTGATAATCATGAATGTATTTTTTGTCTAAACGCATAACCTAATATTAGAAAACAAAAAACAGCTGAAATTGTTACGTTGTGTACCTTGGGTCACCGGTAGGTCGTGTACCTTGGACCGGACCAAGGTACAATCTTATTGCGAATTAACATTATTTTGACTTTTATTTAAATTAATTGGTGTGTCTGTTACCAAAAAAAAACCTTTTATTATTGTTTCAGATAGTCATTTTAAAATGCCGAGAAGTAAAGTGGGTATCAAAAGACCACATTTAAATGCCCAGGATTTAACTGCAGCCGCAAATAAATGCATAAGTGGTGAATTATCAATTAGGGAAGCAGCAAAGTGCTATAACATATCAAAAACCACGCTGATCAGGCACGTAAAATCCTTCAGGCAGTCGGGGGCTTCATAATTTTCTTATGTTGCTGCCAATAATGTAAAACAAGTTTTTAATAAAGAAGAGAAAGCTGAGTTAAAAATATATCTTCTCACTGCTGCACGCCTCCACTATGGTTTGACGAAAATGGAAGTTCGTACTTTAGCATACCAGTATGCAACTGCAAATAACAAGTCTCATCCGCCTTCTTGGGACCAAAAAAAGATAGCTGGCAAGGAATGGCTGAGGCAGTTTCTTAGAAGACATGAAGATTTATCACTTCGTAAACCAGAACCTACAAGTTTGGCCAGATCAACATCCTTCAATAAAACAAATATATCTTCCTTTTTTAAGAACTACAAAGAAGCTTTGTCTCGTGGAGATTTTTTCCTAGAAAAAAATTGGAATTGTGACGAGACAGGGTTAACTGTCCATGTACCACCAAAAATTGTAGGACCTAAGGGAATAAAACAATTAGGTTAAATGACAAGTGAAGATCGAGGTCAAAATGTAACCTTAATAGCCTCAATAAATGCAATCGGAAATCATATTCCGCCAATGATGATATTTCCGAGGGTTAATTTTAAGCCTCACATGCTAAAAGGTTGTCCAGTTGGAACTATAGGAGGTGCAAATCCGTCCGGCTGGTCAAACGAAATATTGTTTTTGGAATACCTACAACACTTTAAAAATCATGTGAAACCAACAGTTGAAAATCCAGTTATATTACTTTTGGATAATCACGATAGCCACGTGAATGTAAGTGTCATTAATTTCTGTAAGAAGAATGGAATTCTACCGATAACGTTTCATCCCCACACCAGCCACAAAATGCAACCGCTCGATCGAACAGTTTTTGGACCGATGAAAACTTACTATAATACCGCCTGTAGTGAGTGGATGATTATGCATCCTGGACAACCTATTACCATTTACGATATAGCCGAACTTGCAGGTAAGGCATTTCCAAAAGCATTTACTACATCTAATATCCAGAAGGGATTTGAGGTGAGCGGTCTCTATCCCGTCAATGAAAACATTTTGAAGATAATGAGTTTCTGTCTTCGTATGTAACTGATCGTCCTTTAAAGCTTACTGACAGTCGCGAGCAAGTCAATGTTAAACAGTACGGAGAAAAAACTAAAACTACAGTTAATGAAATGGAAGTTCTACTCCTTCTACCTCAAATATTCGTCAAGCAGGAACTCCAGGAAGTTCTATTACACCTGAAATGAAATATAAATATATATATATATACATACATATATATATATATATATATATATATATATATATATATTATATATATATATATATATATATATATATATAAATATATATATATATATATATATATATATATATATATATATATATATATAATGAAATAGCTACGCTTAAAAAGGGAAAGACGGTATCATTTGAGAAAGTGCAGGCAGTTACAAAGCAAATAGCGACAGAAGATATACAAAATGTGCCAAAGAGAGCTGCTAAGTATGATAGTGAATCAAGTTCAAGTGATGGAGGTACATTTGAGGACTTGGTAACTAGAGAAGAAGAATTATTAAATTACCAAAAAATATATGACTTACCTGAAAATAACGTGATTAAAAAAGGAGACTTTGTTTTAGTGAAAGTGGTAGGGAAGAAATTTTTTGTTTATTATGTTGCCGAGATACTGAACAGTGGAATTAGTAATGAACTTAAATATTTACGTAGAATTCTAGATTCCAATAAGTTTATAAACGACTCAACCGAGACTTAGGGGAAGGGCGGGCAAGATGGCATACTTAGTTTATTTTCCATATATCTGAGACATAAATAGAGATAAATCATTTCTTTTGATGTATAATGATAGCCAGGTCATTTTTCTACTATTCTAAGTAACAAAAAATCACTCATACAAAGAGATTTATTTAAAAAAAAATCAAAATCAAAATGTAACAAAAAACCATTTTGCCCGCCCGGTGCGGGCAAAATGGCATACACATAAACAATAGTGTTAAATACAAAAATAATTATAAATTTTTATTTTTACGAAGAAAAAAAATTGAAATTAAACATTTTAGTTCAAACAAACTTCGAAAATAAATTGTTTTGCTTTTTTGGGAAGTCCAGCACATTATGAATGTGACAAGTTTTGGCAAATTTGGCATCTTAACCATCTTTCATTAGATTTGGACCTACTAAATGTATCATTGCAGTAAATTCAAGCACAATCTTCTTGTTCATCATCATTAATACTAAAGGGTTCTTCTTCATCACTTGATATATTGTTCAGTATTGGTCTGATCACAATATTTCTCTTGCCTATGTCTATCTTTGTTTACATGCGTCTTCCATCACTTAAATCATTGACTATTTTTCTTCTCACGACGTCCCCTTTTCTGCTTTTTATTGTGCTTTTTTTTCATTTTCTTTTTCGCGGAGATATTTCAGGAAGGGGGTCTCGGTTAATACATCTTGGTATTGACCAGATTTGCGTTTGGTAGATTTTCTTACATTACTCTGAGGTACCGGTGTCAATTACATCAGGATTCCTTCAACAGATTCATCTTTAGAACCAGATGCCGATGGTTCTTGGACATCATGATGATCGTAAGTTGCAGCGTGAGGAACATTAACATCAGCAGGTAAAGATTTAGAAGCAATGTCAGGTTTATTAGTAGAACCAGGCACATCTGTAGTTGCACTAGGCAAAAATGCATGCTCCGGAAAAATGTCACGATTTATAGGTGATATTCCTGTGGCCCGAAAACCATTGATTGCGATTTCAATATTTGCTGTTTTCTCATATGCTTTCTGGAAGAGACTGGACACTTGATATATGGTTATTGCACGACCAGGATTTTCTCTGAGCCAATGAGTAACAGCTTGATTATAATATTTATGGAGTGGTCCGAAAAAGGCAACATCCAATGGCTGAAGGTGGTGCGTGCACAGTGTGCCGGCAGGCAAAGTAATACCACTGAATTCTGTTTAGCTAATTCTAAAGCTTCGTAGCTTTTATGGCTGGAGTGTTCGTTTAAAATTAATAATGCTTTCTGCGCAGGATTCTGTTGCCAGGGAGCCCAAATGTTTATTCGCTTCAATGGCAATTTTATTTTTATTACCTGCTCGACGTTGTAGTGTTGAGAACGGTACATGGAATGTATTACTTGCTTTAAGCCAACCCATTTCGGAATTTCGGACTGCCTCCAAAGCTCTTTGCATGTCTCCTCACTCCAACTATTTCTGTTAGACTTCCTTTTATATGAATAAACCATCTGCAAAAAAAACTGAATATGTACCTTAACCTGAAAAACAGACGGGCAAAATGGCATAGTATGTTATTTTGCCCGCCATAATGCTATGTCATTTTGCCCGTTTTGTATTTATCGACTACTGATAGTTGAAAAAAATTAATAACGAAAATAAACACAATTTTTATTTAAGGTCACATGCAGAGTAGAAAACATAATTGTCAAAAATAGAATTCAAAAAGCTCTATAACCTTAATTTAATAAATTATTGAATATAACTTACATTGACCCATCGAACTCGACCAGCACTTATTCACAAATACACCAATCTCGTGGACGGCCGTTAAATTAGGTGCACGAGACTTAATGTGGACAGTGTTGCCACTCTTTGTAATAAGTATCCCGAATTACAGTGACGTAGAACCGTTAGCTTGACTACGAGAACAAAAAACCATTTTGCCCGCCTATGCCATTTTACCCGCCCTTCCCCTATGATTTTTTACGCAATGATATTGTACGTAAACTTCCACAACCGCACAAAATAAGCGGAACTGCACGTTACGATGCGCACCTGAAATTTAATGTTAAATTTAGCGGATATAATGTCAAATAAGTTTTTATTTACTAAATTAATCATTTCTGATTATTTTGAGATATTCAATAAAACATTTCAATGATTTGTTCTATTTTTTTTATAACTGACCCAAGATGCAATATAATGCTGGTCCAAGGTACAATATATGCTGGTCCAAGGTACATTACCAGTTTGTACCTTGGGTCAACATGCAAGGGCCTGCTAAAATATATTTTTTAACTAACTAGTAAGCTTAAAATGTGTCAATAAAAAGAAAGCATGTAGCCAAATAGACAAAGTAACTAATGCATTGGATAAATTTTGCAAATATATAATTTTAGGATTTAGAAAAAAATAAAAACTA